ATTCCCGTTAACATGCACAATCACCTGCATGTTGGACGTGCGACACATTCCCGTTAACATGCACAATCACCTGCATGTTGGACGTGCGACACATTCCCGTTAACATGCACAATCACCTGCATGTTGGACGTGCGACAGATGCACAAGCCACATGCAACTCTGCCACCCCAGACCAGGATGGGGGGGGGGGGGGGGCTGGACTTCCCTTTGTCCAAACGGTTCACATCTGCAAGCAACAGTAAATAAACCAAAATGCTTTAGAACTAGAGGCTGCTATGTTAATCGTGTTTACTTTTAAATTTTGACTCGGAAATGGGGAGTGGTCCTGTTGCTTGGGGGGGAGGGGGGGTTATGTCTTAAGTTATAAGTTATATAATACAGATGTTTTACTGGTCTGTATTTCTGTTACATCATCTGTTTTTGTGTTTCACCTTAATAATACGTTAATAGAACATTAATAAAATATCTTAATTAAGTAATTTAAAAAACCCTCAGCTGCCTAAATCTACCAAAGGGGCTCAAGGTTTGTCAGGGGGCCCAGAATTTCTAGCTACGCCCCCGGCAGTGAGATGACTGTTGGAAAGTCTGTACAGTTTTGGGCTTAACTGGAACAGAGTAGGGTAGACAGTGACCCTCAGATGGGCGGAAACTGACAGAAATGGAATCTAATAGACTATTCATAATGCAAACCAAAATAAACAATGGAAGGAAACCGCAAAGGAAAGAAGGGTTCACCAGAGGTGCCTGTTATTCAAGAGTCATAGCAAAGAGCCCCCTCACATTTCTGCAGAGAAAGACTTCAGATACTCCTGCTATATACATGTATATGCAGTAGACAAGCCAGTGACTGACAGGCCGATGGGCCAATCGAAACGCAGGGAGAGTCATGAGCGCTAGATGGCAAGTTAGCGCTGACGCCTCCCTGCCAAGAGGAGTTACGGACCTAGTCTCACCCGCACAGGCTGCTGGCCTGGGTCGACCGTGGCGTCAGAAAATGGCACAGAGCAGTATAAATTCGAAACCTGGAGGGGAAATCAATCAGAAGCTCTTACAGGCAAAGGCAGATACACATGGTCAGAGGCTCCTGGGGTACTTGTCAGAAGGATTTGAGTTTCTACGTTGGTGTAGTTGGGTTGGGGGGGGGGGTGTCCCAATGGTAAGACTGAAAAAACTGGGATGAGAAAATACAGGACAAATCGTATTCTATTTCACCAATAGGAGACGATCCCGTAAAATATGGGACAGGTGGCAGAACCAGGTTTAAAATTTTATAAACACAGTTAGATGACGCCCATTTTTAGCATACATACACACACATACATACATACATACATACACACACATACATACATATATACATACACACACACATACATACACACACACATACATACACACATACATACATACATACACACATACACACACATACATACATACATACATACACACACATACATACATACACACCTACACACATACACACACATACATACATACACACATACATACATACACACCTACACACATACACACACATACATACATACACACATACATACATACACACCTACACACATACACACACATACATACATACATACATACACACACATACATACATACATACAGTACCTACATACATACACACATACATACATACACACACATACATACATATATGCATACACACACATACATACATACATACATACATACATACATACATACACACACACACATACATACATACATTTATTCAGGATAATGTGCTCCTCCGTCACATCTCTAATTACAGAAAATTAGTGACAAAGATATGCCTGACTATTCTAAGAAACACTTTCACGCTGTTTTAATAGTGCTCTTTTTTGGCTATTATATGTGCCTTTGTGTTGTGATTCACTGCTGACATGACCTTCCTGCAGTTCATTTCGGTTTCATTTTTGTTCTTATGTGTTTTGGCAGGTTGTTACTTACGATCATTGTTTTTTTTCTCACTGTCAGCCAGCAGGGGGTGCTGTGTCCATTTTAAGCATTTATTGAAAATGTCAGACCCACTGCTAAATATCCAGGAATAAGCAAAAAGGGCACTTTTAAGACATCACATAGCTTTATGCCTTTATTCCCAGCATAAAAAGCAAGCTTCACATCCAGGAATGAGAAAATATATGTATTTTTCCCTGAGCAATTTCACAGACTTAGAGCATAAATCCCAACGGAAACATTAATGGGAGATAGTGATGCCACAAGGTTATAAACAGCCTATAAATACTCCTGAATATACACACAGTCAAACACAGGCCAGTAAAAGGCAGCAGTCACCACTCTGCTCGTCCACAAAACACTGTCCTTCAGCCTTCACAATCATATGATTTGTTGAATCGTTAAATGGATCCAGTTAATTAATCTGTGCTCGTCATTCAGCCAGGCGAGCAGCTCCCCGTGAAGATACTGAGCGGAGGGAACCCACCGGCAGATTCTGCCGAATCGCTGTTGCCACGGAAATCGAGTCCCTCTACGGGTCTGACACTCTTGGGGATTGCCTGGAGGAGTCAGGGTCGAGCAGCTGGATTCTTTCCCAGCTGTCGTGGGTTTCCATGACGTCTGAAGGGCCAGTGTCATGGGGCCAGTCCATGGTTCCATGGTGAAGACATCAGTCTGAACGATGCCGTCGTCTGCTGACGGAAATGTGAGTCCATCAGCCAACCTCAGGGCCTCGTGACAGCTTGCCTAGTACCGCATCCTGCTGCGAAAAACCTGTGGGGGGGGGGGTGGTTGGTTTGTTATGATCGTGTCACAAACACGCGCTGCGCAGCTCTGGGGTTGGGGGGGGGGCGGCACCCAGCCCACAGCACGTAACACATTTGAATGATATCATCAGCATCGCAGACATTGTCTCTGACATGTGGAGGTAAACAAGGCTACTAAACACATGAAACACAAAAGCATAAGGCTGCCACAGAGGATTTCCTACACAGACAGCGAGTCCCTCACCTGTTTTTGCGGGCCAGCGTGCATGTGAGAGTGGGGCTGGCCGAGTGTGTGGGTGGGGCCATGCATGTGGGCGGGGCCATGCATGTGGGCGGGGCCATGCATGTGGGCGGGGCCATGCATGTGGGCGGGGCCATGCACAGCATTCCAGTGAGGGCTGGGCTGGACGATGCCTATGCTCCTCTTGGGTTGTGGCTTATGCTGGGGGCGTAGCTGCTGGATGGGGCGTTTCTCTGGGAGGTGCTGGCGAGGAAGAGCTTTGAACTGGGAGAGCGGCAGCACTGGCGGGGGCGTGGGGGGCCGCTTGGCCGATGGTTGCGTCTTCTGGGCCGGAACAGGTTGCTTCGGCTGGTTTTGGGTCTGGAAGGGATCGCGGGACTTAGCAGTATGTACTGGCTGCGCGGCCTGTGTTTGGGTGACTGGGTTCTGCGGGGCTGCTTGGATCAGGGGCGTCGGAACCCATGTCATTTTGAAATCCTGTGGCTTTGGGTTGTTTGTCTGGGTGTTGACGCTAACTTGGGTCTGGCTATGACTCTGAGGTGCCGTTTGACTCTGAGGTCCTCGGGCAGCGGGGGTGGTGTCGTTTTGGGGGCCGTTTCCTAGCTGAGCTGCAATCGGCTCGGGGCTGGACTGGGTGCAGCTGGAGGAGCTACTCTGACTGGCCACGGAGCGATTTGGATAAGCGGGGGTCCTACGCAGCCAGTCCCAGGGCCGCTGGGTGTGACCGGGGAGCACAGCCTCAGACCAGTAGGTCTGTGTCCTGGCGTCCTGCTGTTCAGTCCGGCCATAGTTGACGACATGTGTGTGGCTCGTCTGGATGACAGCATCGCGGGTGTGGGCCTGGCTTTCCACATTACTAGTACTGATAAGAGGAGCATCATGTGCCCCCCCACCTCGCTGTACAGGAGGGGTCTGTGACAGGCCGCTTTCCACAGTGTGACCGTTAGCCTGCTGTGGTCTGTTAGCACCATTCGTGTTTAAGTGTATCTCGTCGCTGTTCTGCCGCGGGTTCGGCTGGACCGGATATGGGTAGGCGTTCAGGTTCAGGTGGACGGCTTGCGGCTGGCCGTCGCTCCTGATGTGCTCTGTGGGCTGGATCGTGTTCAAGGTGAGATGGATCAGGGGGGGCACTGAACCCGGGGGGGCCTGTCCGGTCTGCGTCCGGTTCCGGCTCTCTGGGGCGTACGACCCGCCGGGTGGCAGCCCACCCCCGTCCGGGCGCCCATGGTTTGAGACGGGGCCTGCAGGGTTTCCTTGGAGCCCACGTATATCAGGGTTGGTTGGCTGGGGGGGCGGGGATGTATGGGCGTACTGCTGACGGGCATCAGGAAGCATGTTGGGAGAGTGCAAGGGGGGATCTGAGTAACCGGCAGACGCCCTGTTCCGGAACGAGCTCTGTGGGGCAGGCTGAAGCGGACCGGTCTGGGTGAGAGAGATCATAAACCCCGAAGTGAGGTCAGACACACCAGACTGGAGAACACTGAGGAGATTAAGGAAAAGTCAGAGGGGAATAGACACACATCTCTGCCTCCCGGGGGCAGCCCTCGTTAGGCGTTAATTAACAAACTTTACTTCAAAACAGCTGCAGAAAAAAATCCGCAATTAGCAAAACTAAGATTTGCTGTGTAAATTATCAAAGATTTCCTGGTGAGGGCTGGAAGGAAAGGCAGACAGTCAGAGACCCCGAGGCTGAGTAGCGATAGAGAAGAAGAGAGTCATCTTACCACAGGTGCTGAGCTTGGGTTTGGCTTGTCTCCTAAAATAATAAAATATTAAAATAATAAAACTCCTTGAGTCTCCTAAAGTACAGTGTAAACATGGTGTAAACATGGTGTTAATACAATGTAAACAGGACGCGTGACATGGAGACGTGAAGTCGCAGATATACATGGCGGCACACGCACTGTGTCTGCAGCACAGCAGCAGGATGATGGCGATGATGATGAAGATGATAGCCAGAACACAGGCCACCACAATCCCAGCCACGGCACCGACACTGAGGCATGTTTCTGGATGGAGGCGGCAGACAAATGTGGTGGAGGATGAGTGGCGGAGGAGGGGAGAGCATAGGGAAGAGGAACCGGCATGATGTAACTCACTGACGATGGTGATGTCAATGCTCTGCTTCGCTGTCTGTGTTGTAACTGCGTTCCTGGCCATGCAGACGTATCGGCCGCTCTGATTGGTGGTGATAGCCTGGAGGGTGAGCACGCCGCCGTTGACCTGGTCTGCCGCCACGGATTGGCCGTTTTGTTGCCATGAGAACAAGGCGGGGGGCAGCGAGACGGAAGTGCAGGTGAGCTGCACCGTCTGCCCCACCACTGCCTGGCCCCCTCCTACGCAGTTAGCCTGCGAATTCTGCTGCAGGACTGGGGCGTCTGGACCATCTGCAGAGAATGGGAAGCAAAGTCAGACACTTTGCTGCCTATGTCTTCATGAGTCAATAAAAAAGACTGGTTGCAGAAGTTTGCTATGAATCACGGTAGACAGACTAGTTAGAGAAAGTGTATACAGAGCAGGCTTGCTGTGACTCACAGTAGACAGAGACTAGTTATAGAAAGTGTATACAGAGCAGGCTTGCCGTGACTCACAGTAGACAGTGAGGCTGGCTGTGGTAGTCATAGCACTGACAAGGTTGTAGACCGTACAGCTATAGACCCCTGCGTCACTTCTGTTGCCCGGGTTGATAACCAGAGAATTGTCCGTAACTGTAATCCGGTAGTCAGGAGAGATTGCGGCCCCCCCCTTCTCCCAGATCGTGCTCGTCTCCGTTCCCATCGTCCTAGTGCAGGTGAGGGAGATGTTGCCACCTTCGAGAGCAACAGGGGGGACGGACAGCTTCACCCCGGCAACTGCATCTGTCAGCCAGAGATTGAAGAAGATTTTCAAATGGTGACCTTTCAGATATTTCTATATGAGAAGTGAGCCAGTATGCCCCGGCTCTGTCGCCTCACCGAACACGTGTAGCAGGACGGAGCTTGAGCTTCTCGTCATGCCGACGATGCTGCCGGGATCCACGATGACGGTGTAGTTTCCGGTGTCCATCAGTAAGACGGGGCTGATCTGCAGCTGAGTGGCTGTGATGGTGACCCGACCCGCGTACTGGCTCACGTTGCTCAGCACTGCCCGTCCCCCCACCCACAGTCCCAGCGTGATCCCGGTCGGTGACGCCCAGGTTATCGACAGGGCACTTGACACAGTGATCACCTCCAGCACAGCCGCAGCCCCGGTCCTCGCCGGCACCGGAGATGTTTGGAACTGGATCGGGACGGGATTCTGGCACAGGGCGGCTGGCCAGGCTGCTGCCGTGAGGAAAATCACAAGATCATTCCTTCATTTCACAAGCTTTGTGTGTCTATTGAACATTTCAGTCTGTTAACCTGCATATTGTAGCATATTAAGCAACAATGAAGCGATAATCATCAGGCATAAGAAGACCATAGATACATAAAAAAATATCAAGATACACTGATAAATAACCCTTATTGCCCTGGGGAGGGGTCAGTTTCACTATCTGAATCTGGCTGAAACTTTGCTCTCTCTATCTATCTCTCTGCTATTTGGTTTCTTGGAGTGACAGAAACCTCACCATCACTGACTCACCGACCGGCTGGCATTTTTTGTTTACAGCAACATTCTTGACATGCTACAAGTTTAAACTCCCATGCAGTTGGGCTCCATGCACGCACCAGTAAGCTCTGGTCAAATACACGATCGAGAGCCTTTTACAGTCCTGTCCCCAGCTATCACGTTTCAAAAGCCCGCTAGTAACCCCTCATGTGATTGGCTGCTGGTGGGAACTTGCTGATGACAGGATAGGTAGATGAGGCGATTTGCGGGTGACAACATTGGCTGCTGATTGGAAGAATTGTGACAAAGTGGATAGATTTCCATTCAATAAAAAAGCACATAACAGGAGGCACCCTACCTGCCAGAAGACAAAGGACAACAGGGGCGTGTTGCATTCCCTCAGGCTGGACAATGTGTCGGAAGGAAAACATATTAATTCAGGGCAATAGATCCAAAATTCAGAACACATGTTGTATGAGACAGTGAAGGCTGTACAGTTCCCTGAAGTTTGATTGTACAGATAAATACTAAGTGCCATTTAAAAGTCAACAGTGTATTCACATTTTATTGTCAGTAATTGAAGACGCACAAACAGCACAGAAAATAGACACCAGGCACAATCACTCACCAGGATCTTCATCCCCACTGTTCACATTTCCACCCCACATGCTAGTGGGATCACGTCCTCCTTCGAGACACCTTCTTGCTGTTTGTTCACTATGCCGGGAGACACTCAACCAGACAATCCAGTCTTCCCCCCGGGGCTGGGCGAAAGCCACGCCCCACCTTAACTCGTTTGACGTGAAGTATGCCATCGTTCTATTTGAGGAGTAACTATTTAGTTAGCTGTCTCAGATCTAGAACATAAGAACATAAGAAATTTACAAATGAGAGGAGGCCATTCGGCCCATCAAGCTCTTTGGAGAGAATTTAACTAATAGCTCAGAGTTTTTAAAATCTTATCTAGCTCGGATTTATAGGAACCCAGAGTTTTAGCTTGTGCTACACTAGCAGGAAGACTATTCCATACTCTAATTACACGCTGTGTAAAGAAGTGCTTTCTCAAATTCATTTTAAAATGTTCTCTTGCTAATTTTCCACAAGTTCCAGTATTTAAAGTAATATTACAGTAGCCATTTGGCTGAACAGCATCCGGACCTGTTAGAATCTTATATATCTGGATCATGTCCCCCCTTAGATTCAGCTCTGCTAACCTCTCCTCATAAGACATTCCTCAAAGACTAAGAATCATATTTGCAGCCCTACGTAGCACCCTTTCCAAGGCAGCAATGTCCTTTTTAAGGTAAGGTGACCAAATCTGCACACAATATTCTAGGTAGGGTCTTGTCCAGTTATGCAATTTATACTGATTGGCCTATAGTTTGCTGGAATACTTTTATCCCCATTTTTGAATATGGGCATTATATTAGCATGCTTCCAATCTGAAGTTACCACACCAGCAGATAAGGATTTCTGCAATAGTAAAGTTAAAGGTATTTGTACTAAATGGTGGCAAGTTACTCGTGTTCTCTACTGTGAACACCTATATAAAACAATCATTAAACTCATTTACTATATCAATTTCATTTTCAAATATAAGGCCCTTACTATCCTGCAAATTAGTGATTTCAGCTTTTAGAGCTCTTTTAGAGTTAAAATATAGGAAGAAACTTTTAATGTCATCCTTAGCCTCCAATGCTGTCGTGCAATAAGTGGGATGCAGAGCGGAGACAGAGCAGCGGCAGGCAGGAAGTCGGGAAACACAGGGTTTAATCAAAAGGGTAGATACACATAGGCAAACACGCACTGACTTTACAATGACCGGACTGGGGAAACAAACTTAAAAGTGGACTTAAATACATTGAACTAATGACAGCAACAGGAAACAGCTGGTGAACATGGGGAATCCACACGAGGTTAACAAGGGGGCATGGCACACGGAAGGTGCGGGCGATCGGGGCAGGAGAAATGCAATCTTCCTTTCGACGTTCCTCTTAGCAAGTCTAATGTTATTTTTTAACTGTACACTTAGACACTCCTGTTTTATTTTGAAATCATTAGCTATTTTCCATTTGTGGAAGAGAGCCCTTTTCCTCCTGATGTTATTCTTAATTTCCGTAATAAACCACCTTGGCTGCAGTTTCCTAGATTTAGTTTTGCTGGAAACGGTCATGAAGTCCTCTTGCACTTGCAACAATGTGCTTTTAAAAAATTCCCAAGCCTCTTCAACAGTTTTGTTATTTATCTCCATCCAGTTTCCAGTTTCTAATTTCAGTCTCATACTATTAAACTTAGCCTTCCTAACATTGTAAACGTTTGTTTTGGACTTTGCTCTTCGGACACTAAATTTAACCTTTAAATAATGACAAGATGTACGATCCCTCCAACCATTGACAACAGCCATGACCACAAGATGTCAACAGAAAAGTTTTTCCATCAAAAGCAGCAAGTAACACGTAAACTCATGTGTGCCACTGTCTTGTTTATTCACACCCAAGATGGCTTGTTTCATGGAATCATTTAGAAACATAACTGGGCCGATAAAGAAGCCGATTAAAACCGTAAAAATTATGATTTTCCATTTCTCTGCAAAAACATCTAACCAAGGTGACGTACACCCAACCTCATTCATGTATCAGACTCTTTTGCGTCAAAATTTCAGTAAAAACAGGAAATTCTCAGCCAGCGACTGTTTACAGAACAGAGTCCTTTGGCTGGAAACCTGAGAGGAGGTGGAACTGTAATTCTAATCTTTTCCAAAGAGCCACCCTAAGAGACTAATATCATCCAGTCAAGCTAGAAAGCTGAGGGTTGCCAGGCAATATGATTTTGCTCACTAAGAAAATTGCAGTCAAATCATGTTATGGGAACAGCTTTTGAACCAAGTGACATAAATCCTCCACATATCAACTTGTATCACTTACAGCAGAATTCATGTGGGCTGTGGAATTTATGATAGTCGCCCATCTTAAGGCATGTTTTCGCATAATGGTTTTAAGTTTTAGCTAATCATACCAGTTTATAACGGTCATTCTAGCTGATTTAGCTGCCCATGCCACTATGACCAACTAGATAAAACAATGAAAAATAAAAAAACATCAAAGATCAGCAAGAGCTAGAATATAACCATCTAAGACCATCACTGTAGACCAGCTAACACCGGCAGCATAAGCTGGTTCTTAGCAGTTTTTTTTCACCAGGGATGTGACGGCATAATGTACCACAGCTGGAGGCGTTTGAGTTCAAAGCCCTTTCAGGTCCCAGTAGGAACAGCAGATGGATGTAATTTAATCACAAAAAAGAGACAAACGCAAAGGAAGTCGCTCCCCCAGCCCCTCCTCCACGTGTTTTTGTTCTTTCTTTATGCAATTACTGGTCTTTCAGTTTTATTATAGCTGCTCCCGGCTCACTGTGACTGCTTTGTAAAGACAGCGTGAAGCTGAGGTAAGACTAACTCCTGTTTAAACCTTGCTCACTTTTAGACTGTGGTTTCGCAGGGCTGGCGAGCATTGACTGAATACGGAGCGTTTTGGTAAATGTGATATAAAACCAAGCTGGTTTACAACAAATGTGCTGTGAATGATCTACAATTTAAAAATATGAAACCAAGGGAAGCGATCCTTACATCTATTAATTGTGTTAACAACACACTGTTTATATTTTATCGTTTAAAATACCTTTATATGCTCACACTCCACCGAGCCACAGAAATGTGGGGCTGATGTTTATGTCTCTCAGCCACATGTGACTCCCCTCTGATCTCTACGACACGCGATATTTCTGTGACAGGACCACAGCTTCCTGACCATTAGCAGTGAAGCCTCTGCTATTATTCCAGGACTCACTGCATGATGGGACTGCGCCCAGCATATTTAGTGTTTATGATTAGTGTCACGTCGCTGGGTGAGTCCTACTCGCTTACTCTCTCATTCTGCATTTACCTGTAGGGTGCCTGCACTTTTGCGAATGCTGTAAGATGGAACCTTGCTCTGCTAATAGTTCAAATTCAGTGGATGTTTGAACTTGGAACTCTGAAGTTCAGCCGGTTTCAGTGCATTTTGCAGTTATATCTTGCGGTGCTTCCTTCCAGTGCCAGGTCGGCACCACTGCATGTCTGTCCACTTGCTAAATGGGGATCCCGTCCAAGTTGCCCTGGGTCAAACACTGGTTCTGGAAGCTCAAGTCAACAAAACCCCAGGACATGAGATTTCAATGGTGACGTGGGAGCTGCAAAGAGACAAACAAAGAGAGAAGGTAGCCGAATATCCCAAGAGGAACCTCAAGTTGGATGTCTCCCTCGACCAGCAGGGGATGGTACTGAGAGTTACTAAACTGAACGAAACAGGCTACGGAATTTATACTGTGACTGTGACTGACAAAAACGGGAAAGAATACACTGCTAGACGTACCGTAAAAGAAGCTGGTGAGTTGGACAGATCACTTGTGAAGCTTTGGTGGTTGTGTTTGATGAGCACATATCTAGTTAGTTAGTTAAGACCTTGTTTATATAATAATGATGTGCACCTATGTTACAACTCTTGACAGCAGTCATGAGCACAAGATGTCGACGGAATGTTTCAATTAAAAACAGCCCATCGTGGCTCCTCCACCGTGCCAGCACCCCTAATGGCATTTTGTCCAGTTCGTTGGGGGCGCTTGTACACGAACAGTTAGCTAATTTAGCGATTAACTGAGGAGCGGAGAGTCATGTGTGTGAACGGTGGGTTACAGTGTCCCCCTTCAGCCTCATTTGCCTTCCCCTCTCAGTGACACCACCAGAAGCGTCCATCTCGCTCTACTGCGACGTGCCCCTCACACGGTGGGACGTGCCGGGGTTCGTGTGGCTAGTGGATGGGGTGGACGTGTCCAACAACACGAGTGTCCTCTCTGCAGACGGCAGGAGACTCTTCCTGTCTGCACAGAAAGGGTTAAACTACACCTGTGTAGTGAGCAGCAGCCAGGGAACCAGTGTTGCCCAGTATATCACAGGTGAGCCCCCAGATCCACCATCACCTGGATCGCAGGTATTCATTAATGATCTGATTTTGCCATGTCTACTGGAGCCTAGGTGTCATCTCAGCAGCCTGTGACGGGCTTATATGCAGCAGCTGGATCTGGGTCTTGGTGACCCTGCCCTTTGCTGTCTGCTTCTAGCGGTAAATATTTTTTATGATATTTAAATACACTCCATCTCTTCTGTTGTTAATGTAATACAGCCACAGATCAAACATTCAATCTCTTTTTAAATACCCTTCATTGCATTATAACCATATTTTTTATTATGAAACAGATTACCACCATAGGAAACTCAGAATTGCGGATTTTTTTTTTCAATTTGCAGACTATTTATTGAGGCAACAGGGTGGCACTCCCAGCCAATCATCAAGCTCTATCAATTGACTCTGCCCACTCACAGGGTCTTGTGCCAAATGACAGCATCCATCAGCATAGTGCGATTGGGACCTCGCAGAAGATGACCACAACCTAACAACTGAGGTTTCTGTGTCACATTAATGCAGAAACTGCTATCTTCATTAATATTAATTGTGACATTTTTACTACTGTGGTGTAATAAAGATGTATTTTGCTTGTGATAATAAAAAATATTTTCATAATTTCACGGGACATTTGTATCTGTCTTTGTAGGTCCTGATTTTTCCAATAATATAATCCAAAAACAACACTGTTTTTTTTTGTTTGTTTGTTTTTAAGTGTGTTTTTAAGAGAGAAAATATTTATTTTAATTTCAGTTCCTGAGAACATCCTTCTGGTTCTGTGAATAAAGCCCATATCACAGTCGGTCATATGTGGAAAAAAGTCCTAAAAAACACTGCAAAAGAACCTTTACTTGCAGATTTCGCTTCCTGCCACCCCCAGGTGCATCTAAAGCAAAAGTAAAAATGAGAATTGAATTTCATCGCTCACAGCTAGACTCTCTGCTCCTCTTTCTGTCACGCAGTTTCTTTGTTTTTCCAAGGCATCAGCAAATTAGGTTGCGAGAGGATGCAGCTTCGAATTTAGCGTTTCAAAGCACAATCAGTGAAAACTGAGAATCTCTCTCTAAAAGTTCCTGTACTCACAGTCGACTGGGACTTCATGTTTACCTATATAAGGTTACTGGCTTCTGACTCTATCAAGAGGCAGAGGGGTGAGAGAGAATGATCTAGAACAGGGAGCAAAAATGTGAACTGTCTGGCAGTGTTAATTTTGTTGACGAAAAATTTTCGTCATAGTTATCGCCAACGACCTTTATTTTCAGACTAAAACGAGACGATAACTAATAGAAATGATTTCGCGACGCCCAAGACTATGACGATGTGTATTGACAATTTCGTAAACGAATAAAAACGAGACGAAAATGTTTGCTAGAGACGAGATACAATCAGAACTAATGTAATTCGCGTAAGGCAGGGATCAGTTAGAGAAAATATCTTGAAGCAAAGGTTCAGAAGATCATAATGTCTAACTATTTAGTGTGATACTGTATATATTTAAGTAGCCTATTAGTTGTATCAGCATCTACTAAAAGGTAGGGCTGCATTTCAAAATAAGAGAAAATAAATAAAATGTGAAAATTGCGCATGTTTAAATAAAGTGCTTAACTTAAGCCGTAGAACACTAATATAGTCGTGTCTATGTCATATACCTTCGTACGTGTTCATGGATTTAAGTAGGCCTATTGCATGGTTTTCTATAATCCCACACCGGTAATAAAATTAAAATCTTGTTTTAATATAAATACATACGAACTTATCACTTTAATAGCTGTTAGAGTAGGATATGGACAGTATTATTTCGAAAAGATATAAAACGTGACGCGTTTTTCTCATATTTGTTTTATATTAGTCGGAGTAACGCAAACGGAATGACAAGCTGTTTTAGGCGAAAACACCGCATTTTACTTTTTATTTCAAATAAAACGCGGGGTTGCCAACTTCGGCCAGCTGGCTGGAGTGAGATTTTCAATTCGAGTTGTCTTCGCACATGTATCAGTTCCTAGCTTGTAAATAGTCTGCTTCTGTATTTAACCGTGTAAATATACTTTGGACGTAGCTAATTTTGCGTTTATAATGGTATAATATAGATTTGCCGTAAGATTTCCAGCGTGAGTGTCATGCCAGATTCTTGAGATTTGGCAGCCATGAAAACGTACATTTTTTTGTTTCCCCTGAGTTGATTTATATAACAAATAACATAACTTTATACAGCTGTTAAAAAGCGGAAACTTCAACAAATATGAAATCACCAATAAACTACATCTACAAATATTTATTTTAATATTTCTATTTTAATATTCAGAGAGAGCAGGCCTGGTGGCATTATAGCCTATGCACTTTGAAGTGATTTTATTTTTGCACCAATAGCACTACTGATTTTACAGTACCCCGGTAAATAAACATAAGTTTGTGTTTCAAATAAGAGTGAAATCTGTGTCTTTGTGTACTGCACAGTCAGACCTTAACACCATCCCTTAACATTAGTTTCATTTCATCTTGGTGAACATAACGACTTTCTGACATCAAAGGGAAACTTTGAACATTACACTTTGGGGAAGATGGTGGCACAGGAGGTAGTGCCATCATTCGGCAAGTGGAAGGTTGCCAGTTCGAGCCTTGCTTCCTCCTGACCCCATCAAAGTGTCCTTGAGCAAGACACTGAACCCCAAATTGCTCCCGGTGTTCAGGTTGGCACCTTGCATGGCAGCCTTTGCCACCGGTGTGTGGATGGGTGAATGTTTTACACAAATTGTAAAGCGCTTTGAGTACTCGTAAGAGTAGAAAAGCGCTATGTAAATGCAGTCCATTTACCATTTACTTTACACTTTTAATTTTAGTCGACTAAATCAACTGTAGTTTTAGTCAATTGTAATTTTATGATATTTAGTCAACTAAAATTAAAATAATTTAGATGACTAAATTATGACTGAAACTAAATTACATTTTAGTAAAAAGTCTATGACTAAAACTAAATAAAAATTTGCTGTCAAAATTAACACTGCTGTCTGGTAAGGAACTGGGATGGAGTAAAAACATGGACTCTGGGGTTCCCCGAAGACTGGGTTGAGAAACGGATGTTGTATGCATACTGTAGGTTTTCACTGCCACTCCCTAATTAGATGTGTCACGTTGGGTGCAGGCAAGCAGGCGAACGAAGCCATGGATATGAACAAAGGACTTTATTTACTGAGTAGAACTTCCAAGACAAGAAACATTAATGACTGGACTGGGGAAACAGACTTGAACGCAGACTTAAATACACAGGACTAATCAGGAATAACACGAAACAGATGATAACAGTCGGGGTTTCATACGAGGTAATGAGGGAGGCGTACGAGCAGGTCATGACAGATTGCTAATTAAAGGACTGACTGGTTGAAGAGTCCTCACACCTGGATTTGATCAGCTCAGCTAAAAGTTATCCAAAAAATCTGCATACACACTGATCCTTTCTGAATAAGACTGGTCACCTCTGGTCTAGAAGGTCCTCCTGGAAGGACTCCACTTTTTTCTATGTGGATAATCTGCTATCCTGAACAACAGACCATGCACAAGTTTGAGCTAGCAGGAACAGCGTTCTCTAATAATAAAACTGCACAAGAGAACCCCACAACAAAGGGCCTTAAACTGAGCCCGGTTCCTGCACAAGACATTCTCATAACCCTAGTCAGTTTTATCAGACAACTCTGTGACGGCACCGATCTGTGTTCCCGCCTCGCCTCTCCATTATCGGACAGGATGAGCCCGTTGACCATTTCCTACATGATGCCTCAAGCCAGTTCGGTCTTGGCCATTGGCTGCTGAAGGGTGTTGTAACTAGGCACATCCTAGCAGGTGGCTCTGGATCCACACCGATAGTAGTGTAGGTGTTGGAAATCCTCACCCTCAGCCGCTAAGACTGGAAAGTCATCTGACTACATGTGAATTACAGAAACCCCCGTTCAACACATCCTCAACCCCCGCACTATGCAAACACGTGAGATCAACGCCTGCTTAGTACACCCCCGCTTACCACACGCTCTCTTTTACATTAACTTTCTGGCATGGTGGGCTGTTTGGGAAACACATCAAAATGAAACAAATCAAACTCAATTCCCAGGTGAGTGTCTCCCCAGCCCCAGCACACACCCCCACTCTGTTTCTTCTCTCCCTCCCTATATGTCACAGGCTGTGTTCTTCCTAAATTCTACTGAACAGTGACAGAAGGTTTGTGTGAAGATCTGGTCACTGCTGGGCTGGACCTAAGCCAAGTCAAGTGGGCAGGACAGATTCATCTGCAGAGTGGCAGGTGGTCCAGCCTGTGACATCAAAAATGAGCGTCACGGCCAAGGATCATTAGGGGGGGCGACAAAAAAAAACTAACACCTGCATGGCTGTTAACCTCAGCTTCCTGAGCAGAGTTTGCTTCTGCTTCTATATTAGCAGATTTCTTTCAGTTTGTCACTCTGGCAGGTGTTCTCCAACAGTTACTGGACCCTGGGTGATGGGTTGAGATCTGACTCTGGCCCTGTCCCATGTGTCTTGTCCCCGTTTGGCCAGCAGGTGTCACTGGCCAGCCTGTTCCCTCCTCTCTTGTAGCTCTTAGTCCCTAGTGCGTTTGCCTACACCCTGTATGGCTTAATGGGCTAAGTGAGTGGTTAGCCACTGTTTCAGATTCCCTCTCATTATGGGTTTGAGACTGGCCAGATGCCACCCTCAACCAGTGGCACTTGGGTTAGAGCACCGGTTCAAACTAAACAGGCCATCAGTCAAAAACAGGCCCAGGCTACTATACATTAGAAGTATCAGAAACTAAAGAGAAACATTCCACACCCTCTGCATTCTCATCAGACTGGCCCTATTTCAATTTGAGTAATCAGAGATTCCCCCCCCCATACTTTTATTGATCCCCCTGGGAAAATTCTCTTCTCATCTACTCCGCTTTGCTCCCTCTCCGTGGGTGAGAGTAAGCTTGGCAGCAAAGGACAGCCGCCTGTAGCAGTACCCAGGGAGCTGGGGATTAAAGACCTTGCTCAAAGGCCCACAGGTGTGCCAAGGCTGGGCTCAAACCAGCGACCTTTGGATCACAGACACAGAAGCTTAGCCCACTGAGCCACATGCTGCCCTCAGATGTCATCGAGGTCAGCTGTGCCGATCACTTACACTCACAAATATTAGCACGACCTCTCCCTTCTTATTTTTTCAGATATCTTCAGAGTCCTTCATTGTCCACAGTCACATTTCTTCCTTGGAGATGAATGGCTGTGTCTTTGGCTGGATTACATTTCTCTGGTCTCTGATATTGTGTTTCCAAAACACTAGTCGATTGATTTTCTTTTTCCCAAAGTCCTGCTTATACACGACTAACTACCCGGATGACTTGCTGCAGCTTATATTGCAGAGATGCCACAGAAAATCTCCTTTGGGTGACTAAAGACATACAGCAGTGAGGACAGATCAGTTACAGTAAGAAAGCACACAAATAGATTCCCATGAAAGGCTTTTGTATCAAAAATCATCGAACGAACAAAACACCAGTTTGAGACTGGCATATTGATGGTTGTATAAGAAGAAAAAAGGGAGACACGATGGAATGGCTTCCGATAATTTGAGAGCCAAGCTGGCTATTCTTTAATTAAACATGGCGTTTATGTGAGCAATGGCTTTCTTTCTCAGTATCTCTGGAGTGCTACTGCTTAATAGTTTGCTGCCCTCTGCTGGTACCAAAGGAAAACACAATGCAAACGTGCACAACAATGCCTCGTCTTGGGTTTAACAGGATCACCTTAATGACTGCATGTTTCTAATAGTTTCTTTTTAATCATTTGTGTAGTGACTGTGGAATTATATTTTATGTATATGAAGTGTGTATTCAAAAATACTTTTTCCCCTTAGAAAGGCAAACTGTTATTTAATACGCAGACTTCTTTAATACTCTCGTCCATGAACCAAAGCTTTCCTTTGACTGACACATTTTTTAAAGAAGTACAGTGGCCTATTTCTTAAAAAAAATCCTGTATTTTTATAATACAAATGCTTTTTTATGGAATTGCTTTGGCCCAGTACAAGTATGAAATGGAAATGAGGATTAGAGAGCTGCACGGGGATATCTATCTCTATCCCCATCCATCCCCGCGAACAACTAAACCGTCCCTACGATATCCCCACATTCACCAACAGTACAGTGTACAATTGTGCACATGCCCATAGGCCTATTACCCATTGAATACCTTAATCATATCCCAGCTAACAAAATGACGTCCTTTCAACGTCATCTGAACGTCGACAAATGTCATGAAAACGATTATAATTGACGTCATTTGGACGTTATTTTGTAGGGTGCTAAAGCGGTATGGATAATGGATGGATATATATTTAAATATGAATAATGCATTTATTCCATATTTCAGTCATATCACTTTATTAACATCAAAAACTTTAATAACATTAGAATGTTGTTATTAAATGTTAAATTCAACATTAACAAGCAAATTCATCCGCTTCAGGTCCCTGCTCCATTTCCCTTGTATCTCTCACTGCAGCATCATCCTATAGGAGAACACAGAAGAAATAGTTACAGAAGACCATACATATACATATAGTTACAGAAGACCATTACCTCTAAAACTGAATACATTCGTTAGATAACCTTGTACGGTATGAGTGGGATAGGTGTTATGAACCATGCATGTAAGAACACACATATGTCTTAATGACATTTATGTAACTATTCAGTGTTAAGATAATCATTTACATTTGCAGCATTTAGCAGATGCTCTTATCCAGAGCAACTTCCATTTTCTAAATTCAGGGACAGTCTCCCTGAAGCAAGTTGGGGTTAAGGCTCTTGCTCAGAGGACCCAATGACTATAATGCCAGACGTGGGACTTGAACCCATGACCTCTTGGTCCAGAGGTGAGCATCCTAACCACTAGACCACCAACAATATAAAAACATCTCCATACCTTCTGAGATCCATGGCGTGGACAGTGCTTTAGTGTCACTGCAATTGAATTGTCCATGGTGAGGTTGGTTGCTTCAGGATGAGCTTTACTGCATGCAGCTACAGTATTTGCAAAAGACACACACACACACACACACACACGTCACCTGATGTAAATATGTAAGAAGTATTGCCTGTTTTGTCTGATCATAAGTATACTTCAGTTTTGCTTAAAACATGTCATGTCAAAGTTATCCAATTTGATTGTATGACTCATGTCTACAGGGTCTTTATATGTCTGTTTTTTAGGTCTTTATTATTATTTATTATTTCTATGGTTATATATACTTACATAAAATCACATTGTATAGCTCCAACACCTCAAAGGATATTTTCCCTTTCCTCCCCTTCAAACTGTACTCTCCCCACAAGGCATTGGTCCCTATTTTCCTTAAGATGCGCCTTCACCATTTTGGCAACGTTGTTCCGCGGCCAATAGCAATATAGCTCAATTTAGCAATATAGTTTGCTTAAACTAACAGCAAATTTATAGAAAATTGACAATGATGCATCTTCTTCATAGTTTACATTTTACTTTCCTTTTCCTTGTATCTGTCCTTTTTCATGTCTTACCCCATTTACTTTTTCCAGCCAAGACGATGGTATTACATCAACCGAATTTTCCCTCAGAAAGTGAACAACTGCAAAACGTTGATCAATCTAAAATTAAAAAATAAAATGCATCTAACAACTTTTCAGTGATAGAATTGTTTGTTAAAAGCGTTCGACTTGGGCTGTCTGCAGCTGATGTGACATGGAGCGAGATCTGCCTGCGGCTGCAGGGGTGGAATATAAACTGACTGCAGCCAAGTCGGACAACTTATTGTCGTAGTGTTTATAAAATCTACAAATACAGATTATTCAACATCGTCGTTTATTGCACGCAATTCAGCCATACAAAGTACCCTTTGATTATTTTAGTTATGAATCGTATTTTGCTCTTGTTTTAGTCTGTTCACAAGGTGACAAATTACTTGAATAGTCTATGTGTTAGGAAGCTATTGGCAAAAATGGGGAATGGCTATTCTTACCTCTCAATATGAATAAAAACAAACATTGCCCAGCGACAGGGCTGCACAGGAAAGATAAAACGCGGTCCTTAAAAAACTATGCGGCGCGCCTATCATTCACTTAAGGAAGGAAGGAAGGGAAGCGCCACTTCTTTTTGTTAATCCTAGAAAAGTACCTGGGCCACTTTAGCTCCTCCTGTTATTAACCATTATCTTTGCACCCTGAGATCGGAGAAAAAGTGAGCGCGACATAACTCTGGACGTGCGGGATCGCCCTCGGGAACGCGCAAAGGTGCGCGCACTGAGAGTCCCGCAAAAGGCGCGCCTCGGGCTTTCTTTATACTGGACGCCTATGCAAGTTAAGTGCGCGCGATTTTCTCGCCGAGTTCCTGGGGTCATGGCGCTGAATCCAACGTGGACTAAGCTGCTCCTTCTTGCGCTGTGTGAGTGTTGCTTTTCTGTCTTGTTCATTGCACATTGTAACTACTGTAGCCACTCGATTAATCAGTTATGACTTTCTCAGGACCGGTTAGTTCGGAAACAAGCAGTATGTATTTATTTCAGTTTTTTTACTTTTATTATAGGACGGTAAGTATAACTGCTTTGGCAGATGGAAGGGCTTCCGATTATTCGAGAGCCAAGCTGAAGATTAAACGTAGTATTTATGTGAGCAATGGCTTTCTCTCTCAGTATCTCCGCAGTGCCTCTGCTTAACAGTTTACATCCAGACCCGGCAACCTCTGCACGTGATTCCGGGTAGTAGCCTGGTGCTGAAGGCCCAGATTTCCAAGAAGACTGGAGAGCAGATGACAAAAGTGATGTGGGAGCGAGATGCAGAGAACCGGGCGGGTCTCGCAAAGGTCCTGGTGGCGGTATTCCCAGGTCAGAACGCAGACCCGCGCATGAGCGTGGATGACGGGGGGGCGACGCTGATCGTGAAGGACTTCAGGGTGGAGGACTGCGGCGTTTACACCATCTCAGTGATGAACCAGACCAATGTGCTACACAGCGCCAGCTGCCTCGTGAGAGAGTACAGTAAGCTACATGTCAGTAGTGCTTAGACTAGCAAATCAAAACTGTTCACTACAATCCTAAAATCCTTTTTCACCCACCAGAAGCCGTGAGCCAGGTGTCCACGTCGATCAACACATCCCACCCCTCCCTACACTGTGAGGCCTCAGGCACAGACCCCCATTTCAGCTGGCTACATGAAGAGCAGACGGTCCCGAGGGAGATGGGGTACCTGTCGGCCGACAGTCGGATGCTCTACCTGTCTTCTGAGCCATGTGGTCACTTTACTTGTGTCGTCAGTAACAGTATTGGGAAGGACTCAGCCAGCTTTATGGCAGGTGGTGTGAACCAGGCAATTTCTCTGCCAATCCTGCACAGAAAACATGTCCTATGTTTGCTGCATGATACTAATTGTATTTGTGTGTGCAAGTGTCCGTATATATTTATGTGTGTGTGACTGCCCCTATGTGGCTTGACACTGAACTGCGGCCACCCACTTGCCCCCCTGTCTCAGAGCCCTGTAAGAGGCACAGAAGCAGCACACCTGCGGTCACCATCTCCCTCACTGTCCTTCTCAGCAGTGTTGGCATCTTCACTTACTACATGTGGAGGTAGGATACGTCCACAACACTCCCACCAAGAATTCCCCTAAAAATAGCTGGAAATTTGCCTGAAAAATCAGTTTTGTTTCACAGGTTTGGTATTACAAAGATACGTTTTTATCGATGTATTTAATAATAAATTAGTAGCTGCCTGTGGCCAGTGTTGGAATCCCTTTTCCCCGAAACAATCTGAAGGTGTTAGTTTATCTGAGGTGTACGATGGCCTTAAGCCTGACGGTAAATGGCCACGTGTGTCCCACCAGGAGACGCAGCAGACTGAGTATCAGAGCGGAGAGGCTGCATGAAGAGCATCTGTGAGGAACCCCGAACTTTCCTGTCACTGGCAAACATCCTGGAACGGCAGGAAGCTCATGGCTTTCTTTGGGAGTGTTTTTGTTCCTCTCGGCACTGACCTATATGCAAATGCATGAGGGGAAACTCCCCCCCCCCCCCCAACTTCATTCCATGAATTTTCCACCTAATGCAGTAGTAATTCTTTGTAATATAGCTGTGTTTTGTGCAGTGGCCCCATACAGAGTATAAATGCTGCCTTTCCTGCTTTAATATGTATTAAATCTTTCTGTTTCAGTACCACATTGCCATAAAATGCATCAGGTTTAATGCATTTCTGAAAGAGAAATTGAGTGGTGATGAATGGGCTGTGGATTGGGCTGTGCAGGGAACCAATAGAAAGCGTCCTTATTACTCCAGTAAACTTGCTCCAGATTGGTTAGAATTTATTTTGAGTGGAGCCTTTATGTAAGATAATAAATACCTGAAGGATTTTGTGTCCCTGGCTTTTGCTTCCCTGTGGCTACATGATAAAGTAGTAACTCGTTTGCAGGTAATTTCTGGAAATAATATATGCTTGATGAAAGATGCTTCATATAATGAAGTATTTGTATAGTAGCGTTCTTGAACAGGTAAATATGTCAGATCTGAGGAATGTTCTAGAAGCCAATCATCCATCCATCTTCCAACTGCTTACCCAGTAAAGAGCCAGGTGATTCTGTACCCTACCACAGGCAGCACAGCACTGGACAGGATGCCCTTCATTTGCAAGGCAGACAAATGCTTGCACACATGTAGAGCTTGATTTATACATCCCACTTTGCTTAAAATTCTTTTACAGACTTTTTAAAAAGTGCATATTTGCACCAGCAGAGGGCACTGCAGTGAGACCTCCAGACAGCTATTCTGATTCTGACCCGCACAACTAATTACCTCAGTGCTCTGTACAGTCTCAGGATGCATGGATTCCCCTCACTGGATGCAGGTGGACGTCCTGATGCTTGGAGGACCAGTGATGGGATGTAGCAGTAACTAGGCCCCCAAAGGTGCTGGCCGGCTTCCAGGGAGCACTGCAGTGGAGGCAGGTCCTCCTCTAGTTAGGCCTAGTGCTGCTGCAGGAACTGCAGTATCTGCCTCAGGCAGACACTGAAAAAACACTGAGGTTCTGCAGTTCAAAAGCATGCCTGTTCCCATGGGTTCCTCTATGGCGCTGCAGGGCTTTTTTTCTGGGGTGATGGTCCACACATCATCGGGTGTGGCCACATAGAGGGAAAGCGGGCTGTTTAGCAGGATTAGCATCGCTCATCAAGCCAGGAATAGGCTGCCCTGCAGATCTGCAGTGCCGCCTTCCAGCTGGGCAGCCTTGTTTAGTGGCCTATATCCCCGACAGGCTCCAGTATCACATGAGGACCACGCGGAAGCATGCTGATACATAGCTAATCTAATGGCAGCATATTCAGGCAGAGAGCTCAGTCCCAATGGTAACACAGAGACTGTTCTTGTGCCTTGACCTGGTCTCACATTAATCATTTGCCCCGTAAGAGGGGATCCTGACAGCTGCTGGATTTGCTGCACTGCATTCTGAAACAAGTCCATCCTATGAAGTGTAGTTTTGATATCAGCCCCTAGGGGGCATCTGTGGCATGGGCTTTTGGTCCATAGAGTTAGAGCAGGTTGGACTCAGTCATCCTGAGTACTCGGATGCTGATACATATCTTACACGCGTGCGCAGGTCTGAGGTTTGCAAGTAGAATTAAGGGAAAGGGACCACCCTCATCTCAGCCTCTCCTCCATCTTATCAGCCTGCCATCTGTTCATTCCTGCTGGATTATGAGTATTGTGTTCCACTTCCGCCAGAGAAGAACGTATTTGAATAGAGCCAGTTCAACCAGCAAGTGGAAATTCAAACAGGAAGGTGGAACACGAGGAGAGTCACGTCGTGGAGATCCGGCACCGGGCCGAACCTGAGGATCTCAGCGGGGTTGGATGTTTGGAGGGTATGGCGGGAAAAGGAGGGGAACATGGAGAAAGGAAGAGCGGAAACGGCGGGGCGACTTCTGAAGTGTGCTGAGGGGAAAAGGTGGGAAGGGAGCAGAGAGGAAGGGGATACTGAGGAGATCCCAGGGTTACTGCCTCGTATTTTCATAGCAGCCAGTGCAAGTGGGAGGGTGTGCTGGCAAAGAGCAATAACCAGTAGCACTAGTACTGGATCTGGGCCTAAGGGAGGGGGAGCAGGAGCCTGGCAAGTAAGAACAGAAGAGTGATACTTCTTTAATCCCCATGGGCAAAGTCTCTCTGCTGACAGGTGAAGACAAACTTGGGCTCACAGCACAGGGTCAGCCAGCATTCCGGGGGTTACAGGCCGGCAAAACAGCCTAATGATCATCATATTAGTCATAATGATGAATTATTTAAATTTAAGATGGATCAATAGGCATCATTAAACCATTATACAAGATTTCTTAAAATGATGAATTGTGAAGCCCCCAGTTTCCTTATGGTTTGCTGAATTGTGATTGACAACAATTTTGGAAATGATGCCAGAAAGGTTACGGGAGTCGGGGGCAGAGAAAATAAAACTCTGAAGAAACTGCGGGATGATGCTTGTATATCTCTGTTTGTTTAAAAATGTTAATTATTCAAAATTTGGAAAATTTGCTTAAACCATGTGGCTTATGCATGCATGATATGAATGATGGGAAACATCTTGAGTGAGTCAGTCAATGTTAATGTTAGCAAGCTTTTCAATTTCTCCTGAAAAGTGATTCATTTAAAAGCAATTGTCTGATGTATACCTGCAGACCTTTAGTATGTGGTAGAGTAAACCAGTAATATTGTGAAGAGAAATGATTTGTTGTTTATTTTACAAAGATATGGTAAAAGAGTATGGACAGATAAAATAGTATGGACAGACTCTATGATTGCAGAAGGAAACATGAAGCTTTAAAAGAAATCTGAGACCGCTTGAGCAGTTTGTCCAGGAAGAGTGGGCCAAACTACTTGTTGGCAAATGCAGACGTCTCATTGTGAAATACAGAGGTCGCTCGTTGGCAGTGATTACTGCAAGAGGTGGTGCCACAAAATATTAAATTAAGGGTACCATCTTTTTTGTCCGCGTCATTTTCATTTGTTTAATTATACACTGCCCAGCCAAAAAGAAGGTCACCATTTGAATTTTTCGTTGGACCGCCTTTAGCTTTGATTATGGTGCTCATTTGTCATGGCATTGTTTCCACAAACTTATGCAACATCTCACCCTTTACTTTTATCCAGATTTGCATTCATTTCTCACCAAGATCCTGTATTAATAAGTGAGTTGATCCACTCCATAAAGCCTCCTTCAGCACATCCCAAAGACCAATGAGGTTAAGGACCAAGTCATACATGAAAATGATTCCTCATGCTCCCTGAACCACTCTTTGACAATTTGAACCCAACGAATCTTGGCATTCTTGTCCTGGAATATGCCCATGCCAACAGGGAATAAAAAAAATCCATTGTTGATGGATGGAGGTGTAACCTGGCCATTCAGTAGATTCAGGTTCTCAGCTGAATTTTCATTATTGCTGCATAACGTTGCTGAGCTGTAATAATGATCCAGTCATTGGTTCTTGATTTTAAATCTTATCTGCACTACTGTTCAAAAGTTTGGGGTCACAGAAATTTCCTTGCTTTTGAAAAGAAGTTTTTTGTCTGTTGAAATAACATCAGATTGATCATAAATACTGTGTAGATGTCGTTAATTTTGTAATAAGTGTACAGAGGCCCATTATCAGCAACAATTAGTCCTGTGTTCCAGTGGAATGTCATATTTGCCAATGCAAATTTATAATTTTAAAAGGTCAATTGATCATTAGAAAACCCTTTTGTAATTATCTTAGCAGAGATGAAAATTGTTGTGCTGATTAAAGACGTCTTTGGACTAGTGGAGTAACTGGAGCATCAGCAATTGTGGGTTTGATTACAAGCTCAAAATGGTCAGAAACAAATAACTTTCTTCTGAAACTCTTCCATCTGTTCTTGTTCTGAGAAATGAAGGCTATTCCATGCGAAAAATTGCCAGGAAACTGAAGGTCTCGTACGATGCTGTGTATCACCCCCTTCACAGAGCAGCGCAAACGGGCTCTAACCACAACAGAAAGAGGAGGGGGAGGCCTCAGTGTACAACTGAGCGAGAGGATAAATGTATTATAGTCTGTAGTTTGAGAAACAGATGCTTCATAGGTCTTCATCTGGCAGTTTCATTAAACAGGACCCGCAAAAGGCCAGTCTCAACGCCAGCAGTGAAGAGGCACCTCCGGAATGCTGGTCTTCTAGGCAGAATTGCAAAGAAAAAGCTGTATTACAGACTGGCCAATAAAAAGAAAAGGCCGAGATGGGCAAATGAACACAGACACTGGACAGAGGGAGATTGGAAAAAAAATGCTATGGATAGATGAATCTAAGTCTGAGGTGTTTCGATTACAAAGAAGAACGTTTGTGAGGCTCAAATCAAATGACGAGGCTGGTGGAGTGTTGACGACATCTGTCAAGCACGGCGGAGGCAATGTGATGGTCTGGGGCTGCTTTAGTGGGAGATTTGTACAAAGTAAAAGGAATCTCGAAGAAGGAAGGCTGTCACTCCATTTTGCAATGTAATGCCATACCCTGTGGACAGCACTTAATTGAAACCAGTTTCATCCTACGACAGGACAATGTGCCAAACATAGCTGCAAACTATGCAAGAACTATTTAGGGAAGAAGCAGTCAACTGGTATTCTGTGTATAATGGAGTGGCCACCAGAGTCACCAGATCTCAATTCTCTCGAGCTGTTATAGGAGCAGCTTGACCCAATGGTATGTAAGACGTGCCCGTCAAGACAAGCCAGCTTGTGGGAGATGTTTCCGGAAGCAAAGGGTGAAATCTCATCAGATTACCTAAATAAACTGACTTCTTGAATGTCCAAGGTCTACAAGGCTGTAATTCCTACAAATGGAGGACAATGACAAAAGCAAAGTTTGAAGAACATGCTTATTTCTAACTTTGTCAATGACTAATTCCTATTTATTTAGCTATATTTCCTATTCAAACACATTTCATGCATGTTTTCATGCAAAACCAGGACATTTCTAAGTGAACTTTTGAATGGTAGTGTAGTTTTGTGTTGTTCTATTTGTGGCTACCTATAAAATCATCCAATCAGAGTAACAAATAACAAAATGTTACAGTAATGTGAATTGCTCTAGACACAGTCAGAAAAAAAAAAGAGTACAAATTGTACCCTTAGCTGTAGGTAAATGTACCTTTCAGTCTAATTTAAGGTACATAAATGGACACTGAGGAACATCCCGAAGGTACATTTATGTCCACCCAAAGGCACAAAAATATTCCTCATAGGCCATTTCTGTATCTTAGTAGGTACAGTTACCTACAGCTGTGGTTCTGAGTACAGGAACAGAGTATTACTCCTCTGAGGCACACACTCACACAGCAAAGATCGGCAGTCACAAGAC